TAAATTCAACATGTTAGAATTGTCTAAGTATACAGCCTATACATCGTTAAACTCGCTGCCACGTTTTATATCATTGGAAGTAATTTCTGTCGGCCTGACAAACGCCCGGCGAGACGTGCGTAGGCGTGACACGCGTCGCCAATACGTACCGGGTGTCTCTCAGTACGGAAACGATCGGCAACCAATTGTTTTTCTCCATCGTGGTAACTCGAATAAATCTGCACCGCAGTTCAACGACACCAGCGCATTCGCTACGAATCTCTCGACGAAACGCGCTTCCTAATCGAATCAGATCCAGCCAAGTCGTCACTTATCGTTCCAGGGTTCGTTAATTCTGTTTGCAGCGCGAGCCGGGTGTGTTGTATGCGTTAAACGCTTGTTAAAGCATTCTTTAATCACTTTCAGTCTTTCGACTCTGATCCTCGGATGAATGAAATGCCAATGCCATTACGAGGACTGAATGGTTACGTCAGAAATTATGTTAACTAGACGCTAGTGACAGCAATTTAGATTCCGGACTGCTCGAGTTACGTTCAATCGATTGAAATTACTTTATCATTACGGAGTCGAAAAATAAGCTAGACCCGTTTTAGATGCAGCACGCTTGGATTTACCTTTATCCGTCGGACTAACGCGGTACACTCTCTGAAGCAGAGTCGATAAACGCGTTCCTGCTGAATATTAACCGGCGATCGTCTCATTAGAATTTATGATTTTCTACGATAACGGGAAACGCGTTGGAGAACTTCCTCGACCGTGTACGCATAGTCGGACACGTCCGTCATTCCCATCGGTACAGTCGAACCCCGTTTCGAGGAACCGCGTGGCACGAACTCAGTGTTTATACATTCAAAGAGGAACCGGAGCCGAAGGCCGTACCTCGTGTAGATCGTCGTGATAGGTCCCACGAAATCGTTTGCCGGTGCGTTCGCCTAAACCTAGTCGGCTTCCGGCGTGCGCGCAACTTCCGGCCGAAGGGTTGATCGAGCTCCAAGTTACTGGCCGTGTATTGCGAGTAGAGAAGAGCAGTCTGTCCGCTCACGTATGCTATATACACGCATCGTCCCCGTCGCAACGCCGGTTCTCTGGCAATATTTCACCGCGTCTGAGCACATCATTGTTCTCTCATCAGCCTCATAAACGGCTCGATCCTCCTCTGTTCGCCGTCAGATTCGAAAAATCGGTGATTAACCTTATCGCGAGAGCGTGTGTGAGAGGACGTTGACCGCAAATTGCCGTAGCGCAACGATTCCAGTTATACATACATACATATTGAGAGAAAGAGAGAGAGAGAGAGAGAGAGAGAGAGAGAGAGAGAGTGGAGGAGCTTAGCGCGGTGTCCGCCGCTTTCCTTGATAAATGGTCAACGTGACGCAAATTCAATTGGCCACCGATATCAACCCTCGATCGGATAGAGACGAAACTCGTCAATTAATAACGGGGTCAACGCGTGTCGCCGATTAATTCCGGACTTGCCCGATTTCCGTGCAATACGATGCGACGCGGTGCGATAACGATCCGCATAGTTATGATCGTGCGAGCAAACGACCGGGACAAATAAAGCCGGCCCGGCGATCGGATACAACGAGCGTGCGAACGATAAATGCAGACAGTTGCAACGGAAGCGCACGTTGACTAGATACGTACGTAGATGCTGGCGCACGTACGCGACAATAATACCTTTGTAGTGGCCAGTCTGTCGCCTAATTATCTGACCCAATTATCGCGCAAACGATTCCTGAAAATGGCACGATCGTGACCCGCTGGCTAGTCTGCGGATTCCAACTAGGTACATGACGACGAGGACGATAATAATGGTCTTTAACGTCCTCGAGGATCGGTCACACCTATGCAGGTCTTTTATGACCGTCGGTCGTTCAACGTGCTCGTTGGATTAATAAATTGAACGTCACGGGGTGTCGGAGGAGGAGGAGGAGGAGGAAACGGGCCGCGGTGGGAATTTCGTTCGGACAAAACGGACCACGCGAGATACATAATATATGTATAGCGAGAGAGCGCACCGTGTCGAGCCTGTTCCAACTGCCGGCTGCCCAATCCTTGCTCCGGCTCAATTTATTCACAATAGGCTCTTTCAACGAATTACACTTCGGTCCACGACGAATCCCTGGGTGTTACCGAGCATCCGACGCCCGACGCGTACCATGCGGGTGCGTTATACTATGTCGCGCGACGATGGCTCGCAAGGGCTGAGAAATTATGGATGCTGACAGTACTACCTTCATAAATGATCAAAAGTATTTAGAAGCTTTATTACTTCATTTATAAACGTACAAAGCTTGAATATTTATCGTAAATCGATCATATAAATATAAGTTTATCCAATAATAAATGGCAAACTATCAAATAATCTCATCTGTTATAAAGAGGAGGAGTTCAATCGAGATTCATGATCAAGATTAGTAATAATGGATACAAGTGAGGTCAAACTGAATTATAGTTGGTGAATTTTCATTCGTCATTTTTACGATCAGTCTGTCTTGTCTGTTTTTCCTTTCAACT